GTTAGACGACAAAAAGAAAAACTTCACTTTATTTGTTGCTTATTTTTCTTGTTGTATAAAGGAACTATATTTTTATTTATTTTTTGGATAAAAGAAAGGAACATTCTTGATCTTTATCAAATTGTTACAGCTTTTTAAAAAATAAAATTTGAAACATGATTTTTTTCATTTATGAAACAAATCATACCTATGCATATAAATATTTTCATAGCAAGAATATGTTGGTGTAGTGTGAGTTTAGCTTTTGCCATTAAAATGTGAAGTTTGTTGTTATAGACGAATAAATTTGATGTGAAATAAACCAATAAGAAAGAAAGAGTAAACGTGGTGTATAAGGAAGAGAAATGATGACTTGCTTTACATTTAAAGGAGGAGAGAGAAGATCATAGGAACGGCAAATAAAAGGTCACAAGGTGACAAAACCCACTCTCTGCAGTCTGCACCATTTGCAAAATCACGCCTCTCGATTTTTTCCTGCGGTCGTACAAACGCGCATTTACTGTTTTGTTTTACTTTTGGTATTTGCAGAACACGCAAATTTCAAAACGTTTTGTAAAAGTTGCCACTTTTCTTCGTAAAAACTAATTTCAAATTTTAAAATACTTTTAAGTGGTGACAATTTTGTAGTATTAGAGATTTTTAAAAAGTTTTGTTTTCCTTCTTAGTTAAAAGACTCCTCAAACTTGAGATAATGACAAAAGTCAAATAAAGATGTTTTTATTCAATGAATCATATATATAAGTGATGATGACTTTTTGTTTGGAATTGCGATATTAATCCGTCCAACTTTTTTCTTCTCTCTTTGAGTACTTGAGGTTTTTTCGTATACTGTGTAGTTTTTTCCTCTGAATCTATAGATTCCGAGAGATCTGAAAAAATAAATGTTGGCGTGTGTCTTCTATTTTATTAAAAAATTGATTTGCAGATTCCGAGAAAAATTATCTGGGTTTTTTTTGTGTTCTTTGTCTTTTGCTAGATTTTTTTTATTAGCGTTTTCGAAAGGTTTCTCTCTGGCTTCACCACACTCGCTTTTTTTGTGGCCA